CCCCAAAACCCCAAAACCCCAAAACCCCAAAACCCCTTAGTGTTGAAAAAATATTGAAATAAGGATTGATCCTGAATTTTTAGCTTTTTGAATTATTCTATTAGTAAACTATCGAGAGATGTCCCAGATTGAGATCCTTCAAAGCTTCTGCCAAATTTTCTTCTGAGATATCATATCTTTCGATGATTATAGCTTTCAGGACGGAGTACGCCCATTCTGCTTGAGACAACCCAATCATTAAGTTTCTGAAATGCTCTGGTTTTTCATTCCAGTTGCATAGATAGTCTTTACCACAGCGACTCAAGTCTAATATTCCAATAGTTCAGTGCTTAAGACATCTTAAAAAATTAGGTACAGTTTCTAATTCTATTTTTCATTGGAAAAAGCCTAACTCTTGCTTATCCTGACAGAGATAAAAGATACTTCTCAGAGACTTCCTGCTTATTATGAACTTATGAAGAACTACTTTTGTAGTTATTTTAGGTAATATATGTCTTAGTTCTGACAGGTATACCCCAATTTTAATTCATTTAGAATCTGATAAAGTCTGAGAGTGATGAAATAGTAATATCTCAGCTTTGATGGACGATAATTTCTTCAGGTAGGATTTACACATTTTTACCCTCTTTTCAGGAGTATAGATGTTCATTCCTGTGAAATTAGAGGATCTCAATTTGAATCAAGAATTAATGAGATTAGTTGTAATAATATTTCCGATATTCCAATATTTACATTCTTTATTTCACAAACTTCCAATCTATTCTCAAGTGTTGCTCTTTTAGTCGAATAAATTTTTCAGAAATCCTAATCTCATCTTTATTCAAGTTAGAGTCAACCCTGATTATGTAAGGAATTTTAAGTTTATGAATCAAAGATTCATAATTATCAGCTTCTTCAGAAGAATAAATTAAGCCAGAAGTCATCTCTCCCTCAACCTGCTTCTTGAGAATCCAATTTTTTCAAAATCTAGCAAATGACTTATTTTCCTCCATACCAATCCTCTTCATCACTTCTGAAATCCTAAAAATAAAGTCTTTCTCCAACGTAACCTCCATATCCATAAAACTAATTATAAATTTTCAACCTGCCAGTTAAATCACGGGGTTTTGGGGTTTTGGGGTTTTGGGGTTTTGGGGTTTTGGGG